CAATTTTATTCCGGTAAATTATGATTCAGCTTTCTTACTCAACTTCAGAAACACCAGGTCAGTACACTATGATCCTCATTAGTCTTTCTTTTCTCATGGTCATTTCGTCTTCTGTTATGCAACTGGTCCATTTCTTTTGAGGGAGGTTTGACTTTTCACACTTCCTATCAAATGCCACCTGACCATGCCTCCAGATCAAGAGGGGGATGCATGGTCAAGAGGGGGGAGGCATCAGTTTACCGAAATTTATTGCGCATTTCTTGTATTTCAGCTTCTATCATCAACGGCTTAGAATGTTAACCGTAGACTGAAAACGTAATCTGAGGCAGAAATCCTGTCATATAGCATGTTTGATGTTCTAAGACTGATATTTACAGATCAAGAAAATCTTCAGAATTCATTAACATGTCTATGTGTTGTTCAATTTCACACTTAATTTCTTTTTGTTAGTGTGAAAAAGATGTTATTTTTAACTGCACGGTAATAAACTACACTATTCCAAAGAAAAATTTAAAGTGCATTTGGAACACTTTTAAGATTTCTGTAGATATATCAGTACAGATCGCATTTTCTGCAATGTCGTGCAAATTCTGGAGTTTCAAAATTTAAAACAATTGAATATATTCTACATATACCATATTATATGAGATACATAAATTTTTCTTGATATTAATCTTGGAAATAAAACTGTTTAAATTTTCAATAATTATCTGGACTTGAAAAATTACTTACCAGAACAAAATTATATCTGCTTTTGGAACAATAACAATGATCGATACTTTTCCGTTTCGCCAGCGCAAATCTCGCCAAGCAGACTTTGTTGGCGACAACATACAGTATACACATGAAAAATGTTAACAAATGCTATGTCTAAGAATTTTTTATTTTGAAGGCATAAACATTTTAATATGGTTTAAAATTAAAAAAAAAAAAAAAAAAAAAAAAAAAAAAAAAAAAAAACAATAAATAAAGACAATAAATTTGTAAAAAGACATTAATTTAAGAATTTACTGTGCTTTCATGGTTCAACATCCTGATTCGCCGGTTTCTATCACGTGACCAAAAGTGATCTCATCTCACCTAAACTACGCTACAAAAATCTAATCTCTCAGTAATTATCTACATTAATTTCAAGTTAAATCTTAATTTGGAATACAAGTTTAAATGCAAGAATTATTTCACTTCGTACGAATAGCTTACTCAGAAATGATGTAAAACCGCAGTGCTTTACTTCGCTAGTGCATTCTCATTAGAATTGATGAATTTAACCCTTGACCTTGCCTTTTCTATATTTTTGCCTTCGGGTGAGCGGTGTGATTGCATCCTAATTGACTTAATTACCACGAATGGTCTTAGGGCATAAAATTGAACTATCTTGTAAAAATTCTATGTAGTTGTATGCGAGTATTGAAAGACAATCAATCTGATAAGAAATGGCTGCGACTTGTTTTGAAAATGAGGCGTAAAAGGTTACCAGCGAAGATATTCCGTTTGGCATCGGTTGTACCATTATTGGCGACTTTATCGTTTGCGCCGGCAAAACCGAAAAGTACCCAATGACCTATATGTGTATCATAAAGCATTCTAATCTCTGAAGATGTTACTTAAATTTAAATAAATTTTCAAAAACTGGAATTTGATCTATAATGAGAAATGATGGCAAAGTCTACAGAATCAATATATTTCTAATTTTCTGTGTTTTAATTCAAAATTTATGAACACTTTCTCGTGAATATTACCACATGAAGGTGTATATAATATACAACGGATATTATAAATAATCAGAATAAAAAAAATCTTCATTCGATAAAATGCTGAAATATTTCAACTAGAACCTAAAATAATTTTTTTCAGTTTTAAATTCATTTCATCATATGACCACTTCCTACGTTTCCATTCAGAAATTTTATAGAAATCACTGGGGAAAAAGATAAAACTTCTTAGCTTAAGAGTGTGGAAGAATCATTTTCACTAAAAAAAAAAAAAAACAAAAAAAAAAAAAAAAAAAAATTAGTTTAAATGAGTGGACGAATCGCAAAAAGGGAGATAAACAATTCAGAAACAATGAAATATGTTTGAGAATTTGAGATTTTTTTTTTTGAAAAATTTCACCCAGTTTGCACTTGAAAATTAGCTAAGGAATAATTTATAATCGCAAAATTACTTTTACCTACTTAATTTACATTTTGTCGTATTTAAAAATATCGAATCATCGACTTTATTTTCATCATCGACTTAATTTTAATATTTATAGGAAAAGACATACATCTACTAAATTAGTATTTTAAATGTATAGTTATATCAAATATAGTGAGTGATAAATCTTTAAATGCGTAATCTTTGCTAAACTTTTGAGTAGGAATATATACGTTGACTGGGAATTGTGCATATATATCTAATGGCAATAGGTATACATCACTTTTAGATTTTGGTATTGCTGCTGTAACCAAAGGATCGTAAATTTCACTGTACACAATATTTCTAGGTGAGTGCTTCTTAAGTCATTTTCGTAAGAGACGTATTCCAAAATGTCGGGGAATAAAAACTGAAAATTTAAGCAACCTTTTCAATATTCTTGATTGTTAGTTTGATTTGAGGTCAAGTGAACTTATTTAAAAAATGACTTGTACAAAGAAAAGCATATAAAAATATGCAGAAACAAAATGACTGTTGATGAGATAAACTACATGGAATCTTTGGGTGGTTATAGCAGATGAATCTTATTAAGTATCATTTTCATTAGTTTAAAAACTGGAGGGTTTTCTTTATGGAAGAATGCTTAATATTGCTAATGAGTATTTTAAATCAGTAGTATGGAACTTTGGAACGCAAATGTTACCCAAATTATATGTCTTCCAATAACTGTTTTTCTAGCTAGATGGAGTTTTGTCGTTCATAGGTGTTAAATGCATCTATGATAGCAAATGTAAAATAAATTCCTTTCCTTTGAAGGGCACCGGTATATAATATATACCGGTTGTTTGTCAATTTTTTAACCTCCGAAAAAATGCTAATTTTTCTACACCAAAAGCTACAATCGTAAGTGTCTAGTGTTTTCTTTCGATTCTAAATGGTAGCATCACCATATGAATGCTAAATATTTTGCAGTTATGAAACTAATATACCTCTTTGCAAAGTATCATGTTGGAAGATTCATAAATTCTATTGGAGGGAAAGAAAAAATTCAAAATCTGCAAATATATGACGTAGACATGCTGAAACTTATATATTTACTTCATTTTTGTCAGAAATGATAATTAACAGAAGATTATTTATACGATTTTAAAACCGGTATATAATATATACCGGCGCCCACACTGAGGGTAACACGCCAATAGATGGCAGCACTAGTTTTCTCCTTTTCTACCCTGTAGCATGACAGAATTTCTTTATTATTATAACAGTTTATGATGTAATAATTTTTCACGATTAATTTATAAGTCGTTTGGGATTCAATATTATGTTCATGGAGGAATGTGGAGTTTACTGACCCTGCGCTAAGACTGAATACAAGTATATTAGTTTAATTTATTCTTTGTGTACTCAGCTCGAGTTTCATTCGTCTGTGTGTAGCTAAAATTTTTATTTCAGCACTTATCCCTTTCCCAAGAAAAAGACTCATCGATTTCAAAATTGCCATCTGGGTTCAAAACTTTACACAATTGTGGGGGTTAAATGGGGCATGTTAGCCCCCAAAAGACACCCGTTGCTTCGTGTTTTCCAAAATCCTAGAATGCAAGGAAAATGAAAGAGGTGAATGACAACTAATTTGTCATTCGGGAGTCACGCCTTCTTCCCTTTGCGAGGTGTGATAAGATCACACAAAGGGAAAGCTCACTTAAAATGGAAATGTACTTAGGTCCATCTCATAGGAGGAGGTAAGTAATAAGTGTCACAAAAACTGCTGGTTTGAAAGCATGCTTTTATTTTTTAGGGAAATTCTTTTAAATCCTTTGTTAATTTCAGATGAAAGACTAGAGAAAGAACACAAGAGAAATTTGCGCTCTGGTTGATACTAATAAGTTGTTTCCGAAATAAATTTTCACAGTTGGTGAAAGGAGAAAAAATATTTCTAAGGCTCGTTTTAGATGCAAACTAAAATGTATCCAAAAGTTGAAAAGGAGCTTCTCAAAGCTCTTATTCTGATTTTCAATCCCTTTGGTATTGCTGCTGTAACCAAAGGATCATAAATTTCAAATGATATCCTATGAAGCTAAAGGGATTGAAAATCCTATGAAGCCAAAGGGATTGAAAATCAGAATAAGAGCTTTGAGGTGTATCAAATAATAAAATTGTTTAACGGCGTTTCTTCCTGAAAAAAAAAAAAACGTTTTGAGTGTTACCTTTATTTATTAAATATCATGTTCTTTGCACTTAAACCATAAAATTCAGTTCAAGAGCAATATCGCAAATATGTTAAATTAAGCATATCTTTAGAATTTCCGATATACACAGTCTCGCGAGCTGAAGATAAAAGTATTTTTTTTTCTATATAACGTTGCCATTTCTCGCTTTTAAAGCATTGAGTTTGTAAATCAAAAATTCGTTAAAGTTTTACAAAATATAAAATCTATAATAAAACAAATTCCAAATTTGGGATTTCAGATGCCCATATTCGCAGTAGGATTTCGTCATTCAAAATTCGATGGCTCTATGTACCATTGTTTTATCACAATGCCAGAAATAGACAATCATTTATGCAGATTTTTCATTATTTAATTTCTTCAAATATAATGCAGGACTCTAACATTTTGTGGCAACAGTTTGAAAAGTGAACCGACGTTTATGAGTCCGACGCAAAATGCCAAAACGAGACTAATAGTCCTTCGGGATTCAAATCCCTTTGGACTAAAAAAAAAAAAAAAAAAAAAAAAAAAAAAGATATATTACAAACTATACAAAATTTCTGGAGTAATAGTCTAAAATTTAGTGATTTATTTTAATGACTTTTTTTGACCAGTATACTGAATCAGAGATTTATACGTAAAAGATAAATAAAAACTGTATATGATTAAGGAGCGAAATAGCAAATGACAAGCGTAAATGTTATATGAGGCTTGGAAAAGGAATTTTGATAAATGGGATTTAGAATTCTAATCCAGTTATCACGAAGTGTTTTTCTTTCCATCTAAAGGCAGCAGTTGTCTAGCATTTAAGACCAACACATGACATATTAAATCACGTTTTGATAATGGTAAGAATATTAGATGACTCAGCTGCTGGATTTCTGTAATGAAAAAATTCGAGAAGCACTTCTCTAGCTTAGCACAAAAATTATATGTGACTATTTCTTTAGGTCAGCGTAGGAATATTTTCTCTGTCCGATGACGAAGACAGTTTTCAATATCACGGATGAATGCATGCAACATAAACCAGTTTTTGTTTTGGAGTCACAGCTGATGACATGTTTACAGGTGAGTTTCTATACAAAGAAAATTGATTTTTCTTTTCAGATCATTCAGGTTATTCCGGTCAAGGCTGCCATAGGGAAGTACTGGTGAAAGGAATATGCAAATTTAGAGAACAACCAGAGCATGCACGTTAACCATAGCCAGTCGGTAATGTAATATCTGGAACCAGCAGAGTGGAAGTGGTCTGGTCCTTGGCTTTTCTGATACCACGTTTGGAAGGCCTGCTGAGGGACTTTCCTAGATTCTATCACCGGTCCTGAAGATATACTCGACATCCTGGAATAAAAATGACAATTGTTAAATTGTTAACAAAACAATTAAAAAAAAAAAAAAAAAAAAAAAAAGAAAAGAAAAGAAAATCTGAAAGGTTTCAGATTTTCTTTTTTTTAATTACGTCGAAAGGGGTGTTTTTTTTTAACATTTCGTTTATTACCTTTATTTATTAAATATCACATCACTTAAGCCGTAAAATTCAGTTCAAGAGCAAAATCGCAAAATAGTTTTAAAATGAGCATATCTTCAGAATTTCCGATACAGAGACTCGCGCGCTGGAGATAAAAATGTTTTTTCTGTAGAACGTTGCCATTGTTCGCTTTGAAATCCTTGAGTTTGTTAATCAAAAATCCGTATTTTTCGTAAATTTCGTAATTTTCGTAAAATTTGTATTTCGTAAATTTTCTATTTTACAAAATAGGAAATGGATAATAAAACAAATTCCAAATTTCAAATTTGGTCTTCCATATTCGTAGGAGGATTACCTCATTCAAAATTCGATGGTTCTATGTACTGTTGCTTTATCAGAATGCGAGAAATATACATACATTTATGCAGATTTTTCATTATTTAATTTCTTTAAATTATAAAACAGGGCGATAATACTGTGGCAACAGTTTGAAAAATGATTCGCCGTTTGTAGTGAATGGACGCAAAACTCAAAACGAAAACAATAGTCTTTCAGGGACAAAGCCCCTTTGGACTTGGGGAAAAAAAAAAAAAAAAAAAAAAAAAAAAAAAAAAAAAAAAAGACAGTTTTATGTCTTCCGTTTCAACTGGGGGTCGATTGAAGAAATTCAATTTGCGTTTTTCAGGTCTCAAAAGCTCGACTTAAGATATATATTAGATGTATGTTTAGCATTTTTCTAATATAGGTATTTTGACACAAAATCGGACTTTTTCTGAAATAACATGCCAATTGTTTTGCATTTTAGCTCCTCAGTGTTAATTGAATTTGATATATATCTATTAATATCTCTTTTTTATTGAACTTTCTAAAGGAACGAGCCAGTTTCCTTTAGAAAGTCCTCCACGAAGGCATCCCTTCCCTTAGGCAGATAGCCCTAGTGCGCTTTGCCGTAATTAAATAAACGAAACCATACCTAAGATATATGTGAATTTACATTTTGGAGTGTTTTGAAATTGGCGTATTTATTATAAGTGATAATAAAGAAAACGTGGCCTACGCATTTCTTAAAATTATTTGAAAGTATGAACGATGACTTTCTTTTCTCGCTTTTTTGACAAAGGAAAAAGGCAATGGAAAATAGGTTGCTATAAATTAAGTAGTTTGCTAAGTGCTAAGTTCAGCTTGGCGCAAACTGAAACAAATTGGCCAAGATAAATTTTTAAATTTCTCCATAAATTTCTCACCAAAAGTTGCAACATTTAATATCTAGACATAATTTCAGTCGTAGAATCGAAACATGGAAAACAATTGGTATGTTATTTCAGAAAAAAATCCGATTTTTTGTCAAAATACTTATGTTAGAACAATGCTATATATAAAGCAATTACATATCCTAAGTCGCGCTTTCGAGACATTAAAAACGCAATTTGAATTTGTTAATCGGCCCAGTGGAACAAGAGATACAGAACTATACCTTTTTTTTTTTTAAGACCAAAGGGATTTGAGTTTGGAAGGACTTTTACTTACGTTTTGGTATTTTGCGTCGGACTCCTATAAATGTCGGTTCACTTTTTAAACTGTTGCCACGAAATGTTAGAGTCCTGCATTATATTTGAAGAAATTATATAATGAAAAATCTTTATAAATGTATGTATATTTCTCGCATTGTGATAAAACAACGGTATCTAGAGCCATCCAATTTTGAATGACGTAACCCTGCTGCGAATATGGGCATATGAAATCCAAAATTTGAAATTTGGAATTTGTTTTATTATCGATTTCCTATTTTGTAAACCTTTAACGAATTTTTGAGTAACAAACTCTACGATTTAAAAGCGAGCAATGGCAACACTCTACGGTGGGGGGGGGGAACCTTTTTATGTCCAGCCCCGTCGAACTGTGTATCGGAAATTCTAAAGATATGCTCATTTTAAAATTATTTTGCGACGTCGCTATTGAACTAAATTTTATGTTTTAAGGGCAAAGAACATGATATTTAATATATAAAGGTAACACACAAAACGTTAAAAAAACGACCCTTTGGACGTAGGTTAGAACCTAAAACCTTTTTTTTTTTTTTTTTTTGTTTTTTTTTTTTTTTTTTTTTTTTTTTTTTTTTTTTTTTTTTTTTTTTTTTTAGCGTTGCGTAAAAAAAAAAAAAAAAAAAAAAAAAAAAAAAAAGAGAGAGAGAAGTAATTTCTGTTGGTGCTGTGACTAAGCTCGCCTGTCTGAAATCACAGCAAGCCTACGAAATTCTTGTGGCAAGGAGTCAATATTGCAATATTGCTCAGTTTTGAAGGAGAACCCCTTCGGGGGACCGGTCAGAGGATATCCCAACCCTCTTCCCTTACTACCAATCTCTCGAGAGGACTTTCGCTTCGCTTCATATTTAGAGTGCCCCTATGCCTCACAGACACTATACATTTTCAACATCGATGCCTTCTCCTGGATTCGAACCCGAGACTTTCGGTACAGTAGTCAGTATCCCGGTCGGGAGGCAAAGTCATTTCTGTACATTGTAAGCAAAAATAATAAATGGTCGAACCTATGTTCATTTCTTGGAAATGGTTTGCAAGAGATTACTTATGAGTACCTGCCGTTTATTGGTAGATTAATTAAAATGATTTCCTTCAGTTAAACCACCAAAACTTGTGCATGCCTATGAAAGATTTCACTGAAGTGTCAGATTTTTCTATAAACATCCCAAGTGAATTTTTACAATTCTGTGATGAAATCTGTAGCATATTCACAGGTTAAAATATAAACATATTCACAGTACTTCAGAATATGTTTCTTGAAACTAAATTCTTTTGCTTTTTTTAAACTCGGAATACTAGACGTTTCTAACAGTATGGTCTTCTCGTATCCTTTACACTAGTTAAGAAAATGCAATTCCCAGCATAGAAAAAGAATACGCCATCTTCATTTATGGGTAACCATTTAAATTTCTTGTGAATGTGGTTTTACGTATGTAGGACAAAGCCACAGATCTTTAAAATTCAGAATAAGCGTTCGATACCTCCGATATGTTCAACAGGAGAAAGCCGAAAATCACATTTCTCAATTTTTAGAGTCTAAAATTATAGGTTCGCGTCACTTTACCCAGTTTCTAACAGGGCATGGTTCCTTCATGATTGACCTGCATCGATCTAGACTACGCGAAAATGACCAGCGCTCATGCGGAATGGCAGGAGATCTGGACCACCATGTGTTCGTGTGTTCCAGAACATCATCTTAGACAGCCAGTAACTGACCATATCCATGCATAGACCGAAGTTACTTCGAAAAATTGATATGCTTTGAAATGCGTATAAGCCATTAGGTGAATATTCCACGTAATATCACAGACAGGCTGGAGTAATTTTCAGCTGCCATTCTTGTCACCAGCATAGCTCCCGTGTATTCTGTAGTTGTAGTTAATTTTTTTAAAATTTTAAGTTAGCTTTTTCTGTTCTTTTCTCTTTTATACTTACTTCCTTGAATTATGTATTTTGCCTTATTTAATGTATTATTTTTACTTTTTTACAATCACTCTGTTAATTGCTCATATTCATAATTAATGCGGTGCTACTTTGGTAGACGGTCTCACGGATTTTGGCGATTCTTTTTCTGGCGAGCGATACGAATTATGGTAAACCCATTGCTGGACAAGTTATTTATGGTAACCGATACTTTGTTGTCATTTTATTTAAAAAATAATGCGTTTTATTATGCATAAATTCCGTGTTTTAAATATTATTTATGGCTTCTAAATATTGAAAATCAATTTAATTTTGCATTTTTATTTGAAATAAAAGTTTTAATGTTTATGATATTTTATATAATTTTATGTTGTGGATGGTGTAATCAATGACGTCACCTTACATTAAAAGTAATTGTTTTTAATATCTATAAATTTCATCTAATGTTTTAAACATTATTTATGGCTGTTAAATATTAAAATACAATTTAATTTTGCATTTAAAAAAATGATTTTATTAAGAATGATTATTTAAATAATTTTAGTTCTATGCGTGATGTAATCAGCTCCCTTATTGGTTACTGAATATTTGTGCATTCCCGCACCATTTTAAAATTTTATTATTCATCTTTTCGAATTCCTTAGATTTCAAAGCGAATGGATATGTCCGTTTCGAAGATGAATGTTGTTATTGGTAATTACCAAGAATTATTAGAATCGGAATCAAAAAATTGTCCTTTGAAACCTTATTTTGGCCAACCTGGCTTAGTGCGAGAGATGTGGATTACAGATGAAGATGGTTAAAAGAGCCGATTCTGAAGATACCCGTATTTGGTATTGTGGTCACGGTGGAAGAAATAACCTCTGTAAGGGTAAAAAATGTATTAAACATTCTTCCTTTTTTACCGACCAAATTTTTTTCATTAATATCGAAATTATGATTCCGACTTTTTTTGTGGTACTTATGAATATACGACAGGTAAAACACACAAATGTATGTACATATATTTCTTTTCCTTTATAATTGTATACTTCAATTTTTATTAAAAAAGTAATACACTGTTTTCAAAAATTACTGAGATATTTATTGCCACATATGTTTTAATGTTAAATAATTATATCCTATAAAAAGTATTTTAAAAGTATTTGAATTTAAGTAATATTTTAATTCTTTTAAATGTTGGTATGATGTTTTTAACTCGATATTCAATTTAAGTAATATTTTAATCCAATTAAACGTTGGCGCAATGTTTTTATAGCGGTGTTTTTATTCTATTTCTTTGCTATATGAAAGTAATAATTTAACCTTACTTTAGTATTTTATACTCTTAGTAAATGTATTTATTTACATTTGCCAGCCATCTTAAAAAACAACGTTTTCAACAAAAAAATTAATCCATTATTTTTAACGAT